CACCCTCACCCCACACCCCACACTCACCCCTGCCACCCACTTCACCCCATGGCCCACTGCACGCCTCTGGGCCCCCTGGCACGGCCAATCCACCCACTGCAAACCCCAAGGCCAAGCCAAGTCGGATCAGCACGGTGGTCTGATGAATGGATAGTGTGAGCTGGGACCCAGGAAAGTCTGGAGAAACCATTGCAGAGGGCCTCTCTGCTTCCTCAGTTCTTCCAAAATATATATACACATAGAAATGTTCTCTTTCCCCCTTCCTCCCTGCCTTGGCACCTCTCCTCTAACCCCCCACATTATGGTCATCATAGGGTTCCTTCCAGATTTGAGGACCCCTGCCACTTGAAGCCTGGACTCAGGGCTATCTAGCTCTGGGGAGTGGTGAGGACCTTTTAGAGATCCTCTTCCTCTTTTATCTCTTTCTCTTTCCCCTTTTCTCTGAAGGTCTGGCTGAGGGCCTCAGATCTCCAGGCTAGGATGAGCTCCCTTTCAGCTCCGGCTGGTAGAGAAGGTTGAGCCTCCAGAGTTGTAGAGGTGAAGGTTTCTGCAGGGCTGCTCCCGGCATGTGGGGCTAAGAGAAAGCTCTGTACAGTTGTGGCCAACTTCAGTAGGCTTGGCGCTCTCTCTGACCTCAAGGCCTGACAACACACTTCCATGTGTCTTTCTGCCTGTTGAGGACACAGACTGCCAATGCACTGGTGGGTGGGACCCTGCTTATGCTGGCCCCCAGATGGGGCAGTACATTCTCTCTGGGGCTTGCCTAAGCCCTCTCTCCAGTAGGCCCCAGCCTCTCCCTCTTCAGCGTCTCCCTGCAACCTTCTTATTCTGACCCACATTCAGATAGGGTTTGGGGGGCTCAAGTCTGGGATGAGAAGGGCACTGCCCTACCTCACCCATATTGCATGCCCTCCATTCCCTTTCACATATTCCACCTACAACTGAAGACAATGCACTTTATAGATACCGCCCACATACACCTCGCTGGGGCAGGGTACCCAGCATCAGCCCTGAGGAGAGAGGCTCCCAGAATTTGACCATGAGCCCAAGATGTCCTTACTGAGGCAGATATTGAAGCCATCAGAGCGGGGGCTGGGAGCCAAGATGCCTGAGTCCTTCTGTTTGTCAAAATCTCCACTGCCTCTCCAGCCCTGTTTATTTATTATAAATATATTTTTTACAAGCCCTAGCTCCTCTTCTTGCCCTCCATATCCAGTCCCTTTCTCAGCTCCTGCCTTCCTCTCCCTTCTCCACCATGGGCTGCAGTATAGAAAGACAGACCTTGGCTGTATGAAGGGCCACGGACCCCGGTGCCTGGGGGTAAAGGAGGGTGGCAGTGGGAATGGCTATATGGAGAGGAACCGGGGTTCAGGCATTGTCTTTTTTTCCTTCTTGTATATAAGAATGTATATTTGATGCCTCATAAAAGACCTTGTGCTCACCTCCTGCCTCTGCCTCCTACTTATGCCCCCATTCCCTATTATGGAGCCCCAGGAGCAACAGGCCTTAGCCCAGGGAGGTGATGTGCTAATGGTAGTTCAGGTACCTGGGTGGGAGGTATGGGTGAGGGATATTTCCCCATCCCATAGCCTGCATAACATAGTGGGAAAGTATGGACTTTGGAGTTGATCCAGTTCAAATTCTGGGTTTTCCACTCCCTAGGCACGTGAACTTAGAAAATTGCCCTCTCTGAGTCTCAGTATCCTCAATTTAAAACTGGGGGTGATAAGCCTTTGCCACATGAGTTCCATGAAGTAATGAAACTTCAGCAGCCTACATGGAATAGCTGCACAACAAGTTAGTTCCTTTCTCTTCCACAGGTTTGATACTTCCTTCCACTCTTGTGTCATGTACCCTCACACTTCCTGTGGCTGATCTAGCTTTGCCCTGGAGTACTCCTCCACAACTGTTGGCCACATCTCTGTCCTCAAGGGGAGGGAGGGTGGTTTTGCTCAGGAAGGCACAGGGTTAGATACAAAGGTAAGTCAAAAACTATTGCTACTAGGGTTTTAGTTCATATATACATTGGTTTATTTCAAACAAAATATTTCTAAACACATCTCTACAATCATTGATGGCTACAGAAAAGTTCTATCAGCAATACACTTGTGTTAGTCTCGAATGCCTTAAAAAATAGGATACTTTTTGTGCCATAGAAAAAAAGTTTTGAGGTCAGGGCTACTACCAAATTTTTAACAAAACTCAACTGGACAGCTTTCCAAATTTGAAGCTTTGCAACAAGTTTACCAGAATGGTGTCCCACATAAGACAACAGTTTTTAGATGGATCAAATGTTTTAAGGAATGTCAGGAAGACCTCAAAGGTGAGCCAAGAGAGGGAAGACCAGTAACCTCAAAAAATGAAGAAACTGGCTGAAGTCCAGAAACTGGTGGTAGAAGACCACTGAATTACAGTCGATGCAATAGTTGCTGAAGTTGGGATCTCCCATGGCTCTGCAGTTTCAATTTTAAGTGAACATCTTGGGCCTCAGCAAGCTTTTTTTTTTTTTTACGTTTTATTGTGAATTGAGTGAAAGTTTACAGAGCAGATCATCAATTTTACATTTAACAAATCATATACTTTGCTTCATTACATGGCTGCAATTCCCTCCACGCACCAACAGTTCACAGCATTTATCTCTATTCACTTTAACCACTGCATTCCTCCCTGGGTCTCCTGTCACCCTCATCTTTCCTCTGGCAACCTCCCTCCCACTGTATATATTGCCTGCCCCGTATGTATGTCTACCTTCTAGTGCACGAATCATTTCCTCCTCCCCCCATAACCATCATAGATTGTTTCTTTTATCAAGAAACGCCCCCCCCTCCTCTTTTTTTGAGTACAAAAAAACCTCACACAGGAATATATAATCATTTAAACAAAGAGCACATTCTGCAAGCCTCCTCCTGGCCACCAGCACAGACTTTCTCTTTCCAAGAGTCCTCAGCTGCTCTGTCTCTCCATGTCATCATCTCTGCCTCCATCTCTGGTGTCCCTGCTTCTCTGGTTAGGGTCCCACATTCTGCTTATGCTCTTCTCCCTTGATGGTCCTACGGTCCTTTGTAATAAGTAATAAGATTAATTACTCCCCTCTTTTTGTTACAGAACTTCTAACTTTATAATTGTGATAGTCACAATTAGTCATGATAACAATTATTCACTATTGAATCATACGAATCTTATCCCCATATCCTTTTACCCGACCCATCTAGACAAGATGAATACTGTTCAGTGAGGATTCTACCTTCCCCTGCATGCTCTGAAACTTGAAAACTCATAAGCCAGCCACTTCGTGCCCCCCTCTACCCCCCCCCCCATTTTAGGTAGCCAATGTCTATGTTGCCTGTCCCTATCAATACTGTGTACAAAGGGACTAGGTTTGATCCTTGATGTGAAGACTCCTTCCCTCTCGGTTGGTATTTTGAGCTACTGCATCCATTAAGTATAGGTCAAGTTCATCAAATTGTAGCAATTTACACTCTCAGCAAGTTTTTGGCTTGATGGGTACCAAAAGCATTGTATGAAGATCAGCTGATCTTCACAACCTCAGTCTTTTAAACAAGATCAAAGCTAATGATGATGATGTTATGGAACAAATCATAACCAGAGGCGAGTCTTGGATTTACCTAATATAATCCAGAGCACAAAGTTCAATCAAACAGCTTCTAAGGGGATTTGCTAGGCCAGTTAAATTTAAGACAAAGAGGTCAGCTTAGAAGGCTATAGTAATTGTTGCTACCCTTGAAGAATGAGTAGATGCATTGTAATACATCAAATTCTTTGGTGCAACTTTCTTGGCCTTTTACTCACCAATGCAATTTTCAATTTTCTTAAAATTTTTAATAAGCCCCTGTGATCATCCTGTCTCCTTTGAGAAAATCCATCAAGATTACCCCTTTAGAATTCCCCAAAACAGTTAGTAGAATCTTCTGATCCCTTTGAGTTTCATTGGGAAACTTTACTCCACCCATCCTACATCCCTAATCTTGCCCCTTCAGACATCTTTTTGTTAACAAAACTCATATTTAAAAGGAACATGATTGAATTTCTCAAGGATACTCAAACTTCTGTTTTCATCAAAGAGCACAAAATTCTTCAGGGGAAGGGTTAGAGAGATGGAAACTTCAGAAGTGTACATACCTAGATGGAGGATATGCCAAGAGACAGTGGCTTCACATTTTGACGTTTTTGTTTAATAAAGGTTTCTATAACTTTTTGACATCCCCTCGTACATTATAAAGGCTCTGTGTATACACACAACATATTAGATAACAAATAGCTGCACTCCTTTTAAGTTTACAGAGGAGGAGAAAAGCCCAGAGAAGGGAAGGGTTTTTCTTAGGCAAGTCAAAAGATAAGGTGTCCTGACTTCTAGCTCAGGTCCCTTTCCAGTCCCCCAAACTACCTCCCTATGAAAAGGACATGTTCCTAACCCCACTATATCAAGTCTCAGGAGTCCTGGTATGACGTTGTAGTATAAGCACTGGACTGCAAGGTCAGTTTGAATCGCAAGGTCTGCGGTTCAAACTCACCAGCCACTCCTCGAAAATCCTATACATGGTCACTATGAATCATCACTTAACAACAACAACATATTGAGTCTCAGGAGGGATGAGGCACAGCAATGGCTCTAGGTTAGGGATATCAGGATTCCCAGAAGCAGCAGTGATGAAGCATTTTTGCTGCCCTCCTAGAATAAAAAGTGGCCTTTAAGAGAGAGTGATTTGAATGGCTCCATTCTTTAGCAGCTTTGACCAATGTCTTTGTTTTCTTCCTTACATGCATATTCAGAGGTAGCCCCTGGAGGGCTTATAGCAAATATATCAGCTGGGTCATCTAAGATGGTGGAACTGTGTGTGAGCTCCTTCACATGGGGTGTCCTTACCTCAGTATTGAAATGGGTAGAATGTACCCAACTGACACACACACACTATATAATTAGGAACAGTTAACTGGATAAAAGAATGACTCCACTTGTCATATTTAAGCATATGTTGTTAAGTGCCATGGAGTCAGTTCAGACTCAGAGCAACTCTGCATAGGGTTTCCGAGGAACAGCTGGTTTTGAACTGTGGTTTGAACCACAGTTAGCAGTCCAGTGCTTATCCTACATCACCACACCAAGACCCCATTCAAGCTTATT